CACGAAGGTTATGCTGCTCACTTTTGTCCACACGTGAACGATCCCGGATCCATAGCGCTCAATTCTTGCTTTAAGTGCGTAAAAGATTTGTCGCGTTTGCGGTCCACTGCGCGGTGCTCAAACTCTGAAACGGTTCGCATAAGAGCTACATGTCGATGTCCACCTCATTTACAAATTAAGCAAGAAGGTCGTTGACAATACTACATCAGTTCATGTTACCTTGCAGTATTTGTATGCTACCTGTTCGCAGGGGTCGGATATTTTATCCCTCGGCCGGAAAGTGGGGACGACGCGACCACGGTGGGGACCAATAGTTGGTGGGGGTATGCATTGATTTTCACGGTACCGCTGCGGAGAGCTTCGCGAACGCGCATGAGCACGCATGAGGGGAATAGTAGTGGGGATCGAAATACGGGCGAAAAACAGGGGAAGCGAGCGTCGAGGGATAAAATATCCGACCCCTGCCTGTTCGGTTTTTTGTCCCTTTCTTCTGTTGCGTTTTTAGAATAAAGGCACCACGAAGCACATTTCTGCTTGAAAAGATATTTATTATATTATCAATTACAAAAAGAGCCATATGCGCGGAAACTTAAACACAGCCATCTTTTCAGTGCTAAACTGTATACTAAAGACGGCGCTGCTGCCGTTCTGGTTATATATTACTATCACGTAACATCTTTGAATTCATACTTCAACATCTTCGAGGATCGTTTTATAGGTTCTACACTACCTAAATCCTGGGATATGTTTCGCTTCGGTCCTTGTCGCTGTCCCTTCCTCTTCGCAGAGAAAGCACTGCGTGTCGTTTGTGCACTGCACGGCTAAGTTTTACCCGACAGTTCACCCAACGGATTTTTAATCTTCCTTTGTTTAGTATAGCTGTTACAACTATTTCGTCCATTGCAACAACTGCTATACTTTGTTCTCGCGAGTTCGGGGCGATGATCAACATTTTTGGTTATTCGGAGCATGCTCATATTTTCCGTCTTCCTAATTTCGATTCTAGTCGTTATACAGTCGAGGTCTCTAATATCTAATCTAACGTTAGACGTAAGTTTTCATATGGTGCACGATTTCGTCCTGTATGGTCGAAGATTTCAACTAACTAACGAATTTGATAACCTCGCTACATATATATTCCGATTATGCGTGCGGTGACACAAGCAAGATCAATACAGCCGTCATTTTGTGATTAATAAAGAATTTTTAAATTGAAATTGAAACGTGTGTAATTATTTGCTTGATTTCAGCTGAGCGCATTCTTGATGGATAGAAAACTGGGGAATGCGCTGCAACAAGCCCTGGGTGGGTCGACAGAAAACATGATTTGGATTCATGACCACAGATCAACCGTAGAAAAGTGGTTGGATGCTAACAGTCACTTATTCGATAATTCTGCCAGTTCGATAGCAATAGCGTCGTTCCTTCTTATATTCTCATTATTTATTACCCGATTTTACTAAAGCGTAATTTTAATAAAGTAGACGTACTAGGGAGTAGCTTGAATGAAATAGAAACTGACCCAATGGGCGAACGAATGCAATTAAGCATTAAGAGTTTTAAAATTAACAGACTAAAAGTACATTTTAACGATATCGCAAAAACGCGACTGAAGTACATGGGCTGAAAGGGTACTAACAGATTTTATAAAATACGTATTGATTGTAAATACATATTTTTATATCCGGACTATAAAAAAAATGTAGAACAAAATAACAACAAAACAAACTTTAACATCGTTGTTTAATTTCTACGTGTTAAATAAATAATGTAAGGGAAATAGAAGATTTGTCTATATTTTAATTTAACAGACGTTCCTAAGCATAATTCATTCAACATACACTTTAATATTCTTCGAAATTAATTTTTTATCATAATGTTTAATTTGACTAATACTGAACGAACGGAAGTAGCGTACGAATGCGATCAGACATTAAGAGTTTTAAAATTAATAGACCATAAGTACACTTAAACGAACCGCAAAAACGCGACCGATGTACATAGACCCAAAGGGTACTAACAGATTTTATAAAATACGTACTAATTGTAAATACATATTTTTATATCCGGACTATAGAAAAATGTACAACAAAATAACAATAAAACGAAGTGTAACACCGTTGTTTAATTTCTATGGGTTAAATAAATAATGAGAGGGAAATAGAAGGTTCTTCTCGTTTTAAATTTGTCGGTTTCCTCGATTTATCGAATTAATAGACCAGAGATACAGTTAAACGAATCGCAAAACATGATAGAAATACATAGCGTCCAAAGTGTACTAATAAATTTTATAAAATATGTAAAAATTGTAAATAAATATTTTTGTATTCTGTCGGTGAAGTGTACAACAAAGAAACAATAAAATAAACTGTAATATCGTTAATGCGTTTAAATAATTTATACTAATTAAATATTTTACAATAATTAGTGAGAGGGAAATAGACGACTCTTAAACTGGTACACATTCTGTTGGGCAGGACGAAAAATAGAGGATACTAAATTTAAGGAAAATGTTTAATTCGTAATAGAAGATAGAAGATACTGAGACAACCGTTAAGGGCTTGAACGTATTGTAGCCGAGAATGTGTATATTGTAAATAGTGATTAATAAATAGTGCTATAAGTGTAGTAGATGTATGTGTTGGATTTAGACTTATTACCATCCAGAAACGGTATCGATATTACCGACCGATAGACGTTAGCAGAAGGGCGGTCAAAAACACCCATCACCGAGGAGGGATTACTAAAGAGTGGCAACGCTTGTGTTAACGCGCGGCCCGAAAAAAGGGCCCAAGAGGGCTCGAACCGGCAAGGTAGATTCATGAAATCCCACAGAATGACTGCTTCGACGTGTACCGACGTTCAGATACACCGATGCCGGTGCCGATGTTTTTTTCCAGCACGGTAGGTAATAGGTAACTGTAGAACGCTGACATTATCAATCTTATACTTGTTTCGAGATTATTACTTCAGAAATAGATTACCCATCATTTTCAAATTTTGTCACACTTGTATTACTTTATTTTCATTAGTGCACACCATATTTTGCATTTGAAGTAAGAATAAAAGTAATTGACATTTAATATCTTAATGAATATCAGTGTTTAATTGAGATTAGTTTCTGAATTAATATTCGGAAAATCGGAAGTCATTGGAAATTGTAGTTCTTCATTTGTTAGCGTATCCAAGTCTAACTCGTGAATTCAGTTCGGACACTGATTTTAAGTAGCCGTACCTAGGATTGAT